GATGAAAATTTAAAAGTGAAACTGATTGAGTTGGAAGTCTTATTACCTCTTTCTGCATCCTGCATATAGCCCTTAATGCCCTCCTATTGACATCAAGCTCATGTATAGAGGTTGTACACTGAGACGGAGACACCTGCGTGAGACCGCCACACTTAAATACATTGTTCATACAACATGGCACGATTGTTCTCCCGCATAAGATCCCGTGGTCGATTCTTTATAACTTGGCGACCAATCTCGATTTCGGATACAAAATGATCTTCCAATGAGGTCACGCTATTTCTGTCACCTCAAATGTTATACGAATTTGCATGCGCACACCGCGTACCCTGCGTTAGGTATCTAGACATCGAAAACCAACCCCAGCAGGCCATATCGACAGGGTTATCTCATAATAGCAGACTAAAGTACCACTTCATGCTATTTTACTTGCTCCCTTGACGTATTCCCCTGTTTATGATTACTTGTCACCTTATTTACTCTAGTTTTGCTATTACGAGATGGGGGAAATGCCGCCTAAAATACAAAGAAATAGCACAGCGAGACATATTGTTTAGAGCAAGGCCTAAATGAAGAGCATATACATAACGAATTACAATTGGTCGGAATGCCTTTAAGCTTGCCACGCTACTCCATATTGACACCAGATGGGTGTTACTTTTCATTTAAGACCAATCCAATCCCTTCTTGACAAAAAATGACATATTGTGCCTTTCTGCCAAAACGCCCTCAGTTTTATGGTCCTACGTAGGAGGATGGCCATCTCCTATCTGATCGGGTGCTTCCGACTAAAATTTAGCCTAACCCTTTGACGAAAAAAAGACGATGCCATATTTGACCAGATTTGACATAATGTTATTAAAATATTAGTATGCATTCTGGGCAACTGGTTTGCATGCGCCTGATTAGCCCGTCAGCTAACAGGTGGCGTGGGCTCAATTCCCATGTCTGTAGGGAGCTCGATGCTTAGGGTAAGTGTCGTGTGCAAGTCCTTCGTCGGATCGGAGACATAACTAAGTGTTTGGGTCGGCCCGCCACATCCCTTCGGGGATGAGTCTCATATGGATCAGTCGGGATAGGATTTCCGGGAATAATTGCACCACCTGGAGGTTCTGTCCAATCGGCGTTCGGCGGATGGCAGATGGGATAATTCCCTGGGCATAAACGTTCTCGATTGGCTAAATCCCTACTTTATTGCAAATATACAGATCATGGTTGTATACAAATTTTAAGATAGAATTACAAAACCGAAACAGATTGTGTCCACATCTTATGATATTTGGCAAAACTCCATCCCGTTTTGACATGATCTCCTAAATTTTGTCGAGCTCTACCGTGAGTATTCTCCCACGCCCTGGCATCCTTTGGCTTAAAGGCTCACTTTTAGTTTTACAATGTCGCTGCCACTACCAGAAATTCTCACCTGCCGCCTTACCATCAAGAACGGCGATCCTCTCACTTCGTGCCGAAACAAAATCGAGCCCATCGACTTCTCCTATCAGATTGACCGTGGCTTTAGGTTATTTAAGGCTCAAGTAGCAACCGAATTCATTCGTCGTCTGCCAAACGATTGGCAGGATGACTTCAGCGTCTATCTCAAGCCCACCAAGCACGCCCCACAACGTGAATTTCTCGAGTTGGACGAGGAAAATTGCTCCAGTCGCGTTGCCAGATCTTGGGAATTAGCTCGTCTTCGTCTACACGGTCAGTCTGATTTTGTTTTAATGATTTCTGTTTATGTTCCAAGACCACTAGAACCAAGAGCCAACACTATTCGTAGAGCAACCGAGAATCAAATCCAAGAGCAAGTTCCCCGTGTAGCAGCTATGCTAGCTGAGCGCAACATTTCAAGTGGGCCAACCTCACAGCTGTACATGGCAACAATGCAAGCTCGACTTTCAGCTGATGCTCCACTACAAGTTCCTGATAACACAACATTTTGACAGCTTCGGAACATTGATCATCTTTCGCAGGAAATAGAGACGAATCAAGATACAACTCAAGCAACCGCTGACATGAATTTCAGAATGCTCAGGATCAAAATTTAAGGTGCAGTGATCCAAGGGCGAGTTCATGTTGGAGATCTACAGGAAATTCTCGGCTTACCGGCCTACAGCCTTCACCCTCCGTTCCGTGACCCGGTAGATTTGAGACTCCCGCTCCCGCAGAAGACATGGATGATATCGATCACCTTAACGATCAACTCTAAGGAGCATAGCAGAGGTAGAGTACGATGTTTTCAGTACAAATACATGAATTTCATTAAAACTCACTGATTTTTATACTGAGTTTGTTCCCATCGTACCCACAATGACCGTACAAATTTTGCCCAACTTCCTCAGACTGTCTAGTGCAAAAGTACAGCGCCACATTGAGGACCGCAAGAGAATTTTCACGGATTGCCATATTTGCGTGGCGTTGTACCATCGTTTTAGGAGAGAAAAACCGACTTCTATAGGATTCAAGTCAGGTGAATACGGCGGCAGAAAAAATAACAGTGCACCAGTACCGTGAATAAGTTCTTGAAATTCTTCGTACATGTGGATTTTGGCGTTGTCCAAAATGACAATTGATCTTGGTAAAGGCCACGGATTGAATTTTCAACTTGAAAGTCTCGTGGAACGTCTGCCGGGTGAAAGTATCCTCGGTTGTACCCCACGCAAAAAATCCTTCCACGTCGAACGCAGCAAGAACTGAGATTCGCTTTCCGCGGGAAAATGGAATGGACAATCGCTGGGTCTCCGCGCGCGGACCACGCGTGTTTTCTCAGGGGGACCTAAACCATAGCAATGTCATACAACAAATTAGCAGGTAAGATGTAGCAGTCACAAAATTGATATTGTACATTACCTTCCATCCTTTTAAGTTTCATCGACAAACACGATTTGATCTGGCCCGCTGTAGCAAGGCAATAGCCTGTTCACATACTCTTGGCGCTCTTTTGGGATACTTTCACGAGCTCTTTTAGTCAGCACTTTGCGCGTTAACCCCAAATCGAGCCGTAAAGCACGACAAATTGTCGACTCGGAACAGCAATATTGGGTCGAAAATTTCTCTTTTAATACCTCACGCAGCTCTTGGAAGTAGAAGCAGGGGTGTTGCTTTACATACTCGCGAACAAATTGTTGCACTTCAATCGGCCATTTAGATGACTGCTCATTCTTTGGGGTGTCGTCGACATGTCCTGTTGTCTTGAAGAGATGGTACCATCTCCGAAGGCTTCTGGCCGAGACGCCCAATACACCAGCAACTACGCTGATCTCAATATTGTAGGCATACTGCAAGACAATGCCTCGCCAGCGTATGTCTAATGAGTAGCCCATATTGGATTTAAAATCAATCTGTTGTGAATACCTTACGTAAGGGTAAATGGCCGGTAAATACTGGCCATTCAGCCCTTAATTTGCTAAAAGGTACCCTATAGACCAAATCGGAGCCCTTACGTAGGACCTCCACAATCAAGTATTATTGGATCAGAGTCGGCAAAATCAAACAGTGTTATTGGTCAAATATCATTTTATTTAGTGGCCTGGCTTAGCAATTCAACTTTAGTTCGTCCTCAAATCCTACCCTTAGCCCTACCCACCCTTGCTTAGGACCAGCCTTTAAAGGTCAGATTGGCCAAAACTTTGGAAACGCACAATATCCCGAGACGCCTTGCCAAAAGGGATCAAGTGAAGTGAAACGGAGTGGCAACCCAGGTTTACTTAGTATTGGGGAGTTTCCTGTTGAACAATTTTGGTATGTTTGAAAGCAATGCAATTTTCTGGATTAAGCGTTTTCTCCGGGAATGGTACTTTTTTTAAAAATCACTTGCTTTTTAAAAGACCCATTAGAACAAAATATTTTATTTGGAAGAACGCAGTATCTAAACTCTCTATTATTTGAATACCTGTTATCTTAATTTTTTTTCTTAATAGCAGAAACAGGTGGAATAATTTTTGCAAATACGTTTAATTATTTCGGGGCAACTTGTTTCGTTATAATACCGACAGAGACTTCAATTCGTTATCCTGTAGACCGTAAATCTAGGACACTGCTCTGTCTTTCACTACAACTCGTATATCTTTAAAAAATGCAATCTGGGCACCGCAATTGGTCGTCTTGGTGTGACACCCCCACCCGGCTTTGTCGCTTCAGTTAAGGTGTAAATCGGTGGAATTAACGCTGATGTGCAGTCTGCAGAAGTTGGAATAATACCGCTTAATAAGGAGCGGTAAAGGTTCGTAAGACAAGTTAGGCACTCGAGAAAAGCTACTGAGGAAATATGTATGTCTTTATTTTCGTTTATAAAAGAAGACTTGCATAGAGTGGGTGCGCGGATCTTAATAGTCTTAGCGCGAAGTCGTCTCGACTACACTACCGATGTACGGGAATTTCTTTATTGTTATATCATCGCAGAAGTCGGTGTTTGTCTAGCGCATGCGGCGAAGGTTGCAGCATAATCGTCACCGATTTGCATAGCTTGTTTTTTATTTTGTGTTGGACGTTTCTTCAAAAAACCTAATATGAGTCTGACAGAGCTAATGTTTTACCTGAATTCGTTATTGCTATGTTTATTTAACGAGGTCTTACTTGTACATGTATCACATCTACTTTTCTCACTACAACAGTGTAATAGAAGGTCGAATATGTACAACAATAATGAGTGAAATTTATTTCACAGCACAACAGAAATTGAAGCTCTAACTGATCCTGTGAAATATATATCAAACATTAATAGGGCATCTTCAATCAGCTCAGTTCACGCTCTCAACCTTATGCCCCTAGGTACTCGTTCGCTTAGTGCTGCTGCTTTCCCGGGCACCGGTGGCTTTCTTCGTCAACATGTAGTGCCACCGAGGTCTAATCCACCTCGATATTCTCCGTGCCCACCGTCGCCTGGCTTCCGTCGGTTTAATTTGTCAACGTGTAGCTCCACAGGGATCACATTACCGTCCACCGCGTCCTCGCTCTCGTCACTCGTTCCTCAGCTAGCACTCGTCTCCTTTGATCACACATCAGTCTGCCTTCTTCTTTGCCGATTTCAGAGTGAGCTCTATTTCAATCGTTTCGCACTCCGACGCGCTGGGATCACCCACGATCTTCATCTCCGACTGTCCGTTCTTGAGGTACAACGAATGCTCATAACCGTTCAAAATGTTTGGCTTATTTTGCAGTGGGCATCGTACCAGCGGCAGTTCTGTAGGAAGTCCTGTCTCATAAAAAGAATCATTGCAGACCATGCCCACCTGTTACACGCCTTCGCCATTCGTAGAGTCTTCTACATCTCTACCGTACGTCGAAGTATTTGTCGCATGTGTCAATGGTTATCCACCTGGCTCCGCCATCGTTGCTTCATCTCGTCGCATAGGTCCAGCGAATATTCTGGTACAAACTGCCCGGTTCGGTTGCATCGTCGTCTCCGGCGAATCTTCTCCAATTTCCCACTTGACTACTTCCATCTACTTACTCGTTCCGCTGTTGCTCTACCTAAAGCAGGTTGACGCCGTGACGGGCTGCACGAAAGCCGTCGTTATGTTCGTAGTCGTTTCTGATGTATCGTCATCATTGAGGTGGTCTTCATACTCCAGCCGTTTATTCAAGTCGTCCGCTGTTTCTGTAGCAATTCAGGTTGTAAATGGTACGTTGTAAAGATGCTCACGAAATCTAAATAACATTCGGCTCTAGGTCTCAAATCCAGCGGGTTCGCAACGGCCCTATCCACATATGAGCCAGCTTAGTCGCATTTTGGGCTTTAGATGGTCAATACTTCCTAACTCTGTCACCTGCGGTAAGTATATTCTAGTCATATTTGCCCGTCGGTATAATGCCATGCCTGGCGTTCCTATTCGTTTTGCCTTGACCGTTCTGTACATTCGCGGATGCTTTGCTTCGCGGTCAATAATCGATCATATTCCCTAGTCAAGGTTCTGCTTCTGCCACCCTCGTGCTGCGAAATAGTAGCAGCTCATTTGGTTATCGTAACTTGCGTCCCCGCATTGCACATTCGTAGATAAGGCTACATTCAAGTGCTTGCCTGAGGTTTATGCATGTGCAGTAATGTCGACCCACACACCCCCATCGTTTTGTGCCTCACTCTGCATGTAGGTCGCTACCCAATCTTTCCATGTTCTACGTAGTCGCCCAACGAGACCATCATTTGCGGGCAACATGGAGCATGATTTTGCTGCTTCACCTGTACCAGGCGTACTAGTTTTTCAGTCAAGTGCTCCAAATGAAAATCCGTCGGTAAGTAGCTGTTGAGCACCACGAGGGTACTGTGTAAAGACGACACTTCTAGCTAGGTCTGCTGCCGTCGCCGATCTCTGCAGGATCTCGAAGTGCCAGTCTCTGCAAACAAGTCTCCAATCTCAGCGCTGGTCTCCGGCGGCAGGAGCACCCGGCGAATGGCATGGAATGGCGTGTACCGAGGACGAAGCAGGGCAAGTGCCGACGACGAGAGGCATGCAAGTGCGGTGGCGATTGGGCACACAGAGAGGAGAATCAAGCGCAGGAGCTACTACCGTGGTTACCGGAATTAGTCTCTACGGCAAATTAGTATGTGTTCAATTTTAGTGACACTCACATTATTTTGTGTGATCAAACGTGAATTTTTAATTAGTGTGTGTTCAAAAATAGTAGCACCAGCACTATCGCCGGCCGCTGACGAGAGGGGGTGGCGTTTGCGAGTTGTTAATGTGCGACGGTCTCGCGCGTTCACACATAGTGTTGAATGTACTAAACGTTGGCTCTCATATGATACATGGATGTTTCTCTAGGATTAGCACGAGCCGATGACGGACTCCCTTGTCCGACCAGCAACCAGCAACAGCCCTGCAAGCTCTCCAACTGAGATCATTTCTCGTTCTGTTGTCAGCAAGCGTCTATGAGCAGGAGGGGTGAGCGGGCAAAGCCCCCTTGAAGCTCTGTGGCTTGCCCACACGCTGATGGACGCTCGTCATCACAGGACGCTTACACAACGCGCCCGAAGCTCGCCATTACTTCATTCGGCTGGACACTCACAACCCGGACGTCGCCATTGCTTCGTTCTGCTGGACGCTCGCCACAGTTTCGTTCTACTGGACGCTCGTCATTGTTTAGCTGTGCTGGACGCTCGTCATTGCTTCCCTGTAGTGGACGCTCATCATTGCATCATTACTTCGTTCTGCTGGACGTTCGTCATTGCTTCGCTGTGCTGGACGTTCAACAGGGCTTCGTTCTGCTGGACGCTCGTCATTGCTTTGCTGTACTGGACGTTCATCATTGCTTCGCTCTGCTCAAAGGTTGAACTGTGCAGAGACAAATGGAAACCAAAATGCCGTGTGGAAGTGGTGGTGGTGGGGGGGGGGAGTGTCACTGGGATTCATTCGTGTCCTTCATGTCATGCTAATATGGCCGCTCAATTGGAGAAGAAGGTTACGACCAGCCTGTGCTTTGCCCAAGGTGTGATTCCCCCCTTGGGCGAAGCACAGGCTGGCCGTAACCTTCTTCTGTGTATTCCGCTCAAACGCTAAATGAGCCCCCCCCCTCCTCGGCATCACCGATTATTGCTGCATTTGACCGAGCGCGCAATCAACAACCACGACCGCTTCGCTCGGAAGCTCGCAGTAGCATCCCAAGTGCCGAGCTAGGCGACAAGAGTAATAGCGAGCAGAGCGATAAAAGTGCGAGCATGACGGCTAGGAATACCAACGCCACCACCAATATGAGAAAGCAACGACCTAATACAGTGAGCACCATTCATTATCGCGTGACAGTTCTAGCATGCATGGTAGAAGAAGAAAAGCGGTCTGGGTTGAAAAGCCCTCATCGAGACGGTTTCTGCGATATCCAACTCGGTCAGCTACAACGTGAACATCAACAAAGGTAAAAACTGGTGGAGAAATAGGTATAACTATGGTTGTACGAATTTCAGGTGACGCAAACGCTCGTGTTCCTCGTGCAATTATGATATTTACGAATGGAAAGGGAAACTACCCGATCCGTGGTGTTCCGGATAATATTTCAGGAATTTCGATCGAGCAGCAAAGGAGGGATGTCAAATTCCAAGTTAAGATAATACCTTTCGGAGTCAAAAGCTATGCGAGCAGACTGGATTGGCCGCAAAAACACATTTTTCTTGACAATTGTTTCGGGCACCCCAGTGCGGAGGAGTGTAGTGCTGAACTTACAGCATTGAATGCAGAACTACGTTTTCCTCCAGCAAGCGCAACAGATTTGTGCCAGCCGGCGGATTCATTTGTTATTGCAAGATTAAAGATATTTGGAATGCAAAAAAGATCGACCTAATAGACAAGGATGAATGGCAGAATGCAAAACATAAAGATGGTTCTTGGTCCGAAATACTTCGGAATCCTGGAATGATCTTCTTCTTGCGGCTTGCAGCGGAAACATTGTTTGAACCCAGCTGAAAACGAGATGAAAATGGCCTCAACTACACCCATAAATCCATGATTAGATGTGGATTGTCGCTTTTTATTGATGGGTCATGGAAAACATCTCAACGTTTACCACATTTACAAGACATTATGAGGAAGTTTCCAGAGAACTTTGAAGGTAAGTCAGTGGACGAAAGCGAAGTAGTAGTCTACGTTGAAACGACAGAGTCAGTATGCAAGGACAAGGACACAAGCAGAGTATACGTTGAAGAGGATAACGAGAAAAAGTCGGAAGAGGTGTGCGAAGCAGTGGTATAATGACTAATTTTGACATCAATACATGTACAGCTACGTCATTTACGAGCTCTCAATAATTTTGATTGTCGTCAAATAATGTTGGCGTGGCTATTTCTTGACGGACAGCAAAACACGTGTGTGAATAAATCATGACACTCACACCAATATATGTAAAGATTTGAAAATAATCCCTACGAAAAATAATGCGAGTGAGACTAATTACGGTAACCACTGTATCCATGGGGGTTAGTCGGTAGGGCACTCTAATGCTAAATCTCACTTCGCATTTTACCTTCTGACCTCAACTTGCCATAGTAGCTCACGAAAGCCTTCATACGTCAGGCCCAAATGCATCCCAAAAAGCCTGGCTACAGTTTTACTATGTATGGTTTCACCGTTGTTATCACTGTGTAGTGTGTTTAGTATTCGACAGCAGAGATAACGTAGCGGTGCTACGGAGGTGGACCAGCAACGGCCAGCGCCCAGTGCTCTACGACGTCACTTCGTTGTAGACATTGTAGTGGCGGTATAACTTGTCTGGAGCGTGCCTTACAATTTCCACACTATGGACACCCTGCACCACATTGTTTTACTTTCGATTGCAAGTCTGGTCATCGGTTGAGCTGAGGAACACGAGTGAATGTGCGGTGTACGTAGATGCACTATCCATACGGAATCAAGGCAGTCTTTTAACACTAGGGCCCAAAGTTCACGTGGAAGGATTACACGTCTTCCTGCAGAAGGTTCGGTGAGTGCCATCCTGTACTTCTTAGCCACCTTCATGCCCATATGAAAGTCTACCTCAAATAGCATTTGCACTCGGGGACGGTGCTTCTGCTTTTTACTGATCACTGTACTTGTCCTTGCTCATAACTGTACCGCGGCTCACGTCGTATCAATTGTTTTGACCAGTACTGAGCTCACTTCGTGCTGATCATTTCAATTGACTTCAGGCTCATGACTGTGTACGTTGGTTCCTCGTGGTCCTCCAGTAACGATGGCCCTACTCGTGTCAGTCGTGGTTATGAAACTCGTCACGCCGGCAGCTCCGTCCATGACACATGTCACTCGCGCCACGTGAGTCTCGGCGTCAACCCACCCGCTTGCATCCACAACGATTGGCGCCAGCGATAGTAAAGAATACCTGGGTCCGGACTTGGTTTCGTAGCACCCAAAGACAGCGAGGTAGTGTTCGGACCCGTGCATCCACCCGTCCCGCATCAGCCCAAATTTGTCGGCCATCTCGTCACCCACGTGCCCTTCCACTGCCTTGGAGAGATCCTCCACAGTCCGAACGCTAGTAGACCCGCAAGAACAGGACCTCGAACAAGTCCAGTCGCTAATGAAAACCTGCGGACGATCACTCAAGCGGCGAAGTTATGGTAAATTCTTGACTATTGTCTATTTAATTTTTTTTCATGTTGGTTTTGGATTTTTTTTTAATAGACTGAAGACACCACTCCGGCCCAAGCTGCGTCAGCAAACCCGCTGGGGGTCAACGTACGCGATACTGGCTCGCTATTTTGAGCTCCGAGAGTTTATAAACGCGGACGACGAAGGCCTGTCATCAAGCTGACCGCCACCAACCGCTAATCGCAGACCCAAAGCGCTGCTGTCGCAAATGAGCGACATCGAGTCAATTTCCAAGAAAATGCAGTCGGATGAGCTTAACCTTCTTGACGCTCGCGGTCTGCTAAATGGGCTGCTTGGGATAAAACCAAGTTTCACCAATTATCTCGGTAAGAATTTGCTTTTATTTTATTTTCTTAGGTTATCTAAATTTGTTA